AATGAATAAGTCATTGATTTTACAAAATTCAATCATTCTATCTCCAGCCTCATTCCTGTCACCAAGCCCATGTTTTCCGAGTTACATGTCCAAAATATGAAGGACGAAACTTCATCATCTTCAGCTCCAAGGAACACTCTGGCTGCACTTTCTCCAAGATATATCTGTTCTGGAAGACCATGGTTCAGTTCTCTTCTCCTAAACCACAACTCAATGGCATCAATTCGTCTGTCATTCTTATTCATCGTCCATCTCTCTAATGCATAGCATGGCCGGAATCAGGCATACCTTTGTCTTCAAACTGACATCAATATTCTTCAGCATTTTGGAGAAGTCCCTGACAGTGGACTTGCCCAATGTAATGCATTTGTTATGTGCTATCATGTCACCTGCAACTCATAGCAACCCTATGTACCTAGCTCTGAACTCTGCCCTATCCTGAGCCAGTGTCACTGACTCCAACACACCTACTCCTATTACTCCAGTTACTGTGTCAATTCATCTCATCTGAGGTCTTTTCCCCCTGTGCTGTCCCTCCACCCTTCCAAGCATGATGTCCTTCTCTAAGGATGTCTCAAGATTTCCTGACTGCTGGTACCAAGGTTATTGACTATTGATCCAATGAAGATGAAATAATTGACAGCTTCAATCTTTCTCTGCCTGTCATGTGACTGTTGGTCCTATGGTGAGGAACTTTGTTTTCTTGATGTTGAGGTGTAATCCATGTTGAAGACTGTAATCCTTGATCTTCTAAAGGAAGTATTTTATATCCACCTCACTTTTAGCAAGGACAGTTGTATCATCTGCATAATGCAGGTTGCTGATGAGTTTCTGCCATTCCTAATGCCACATTCTTTTTCATAGAGTCTGGCTTTGTAATTTGCTCAGCATACAGACTGAATAAATAGGAAGAAAGAATACAAGCCGGATACATGCCCTTCCTGATTTTAAACCGTGCATTTTCCCTTGCTTAGTTTAGACAACAGCTTCTTTATCTAGGCATAGATTCTGTATGAGCATTAAGTATTCTGCGATTCACATTGTTCTCAATGTTAGTCATAATTTGTTATGATCAACACAGTCATATGTCTTTGCATTGTCAGTAAAACACAAATAGATATTCTTCTTCTAGCCAGTATTCATCGGACATCAGCAGAAACCCTCAATTTACTCATCTTTGGCTTTAGCATTTTGTGCGTATGTTGGATTAGCAGGCCTTCCTTGTAGTCATATAGATACTGACCTATCATTGACAGTCCCGTTCTTCAAGACAGATCCTGAAATGTTCTTTTTGATGAAGAAAGCAACACCTTCAAGTTGTCATTTCTGGCGTAGATCATATGTGATTAAGACCTGCTAATACCCATCCATCTTAGTTCGCAAATATCTTTATGTGTTACATTTCATTTTTGACAGCTTCCAAAATTTATATTTCCTGGTAGCTTATGGATCAGGGCTAAGAACTCCTAGCCATGGGTATATAATGAAGAGAGTCTCAGTTGTTGGGAATAAATAAGGAAGAGATGTGATAAAAATTTACGAATCAAAACAAGTGAATGGTTGAGAAATTATCTACATTGAGACTCAGTTTAACATTCACGCTGCTTCTACCTTTAGGGGTGAGAAATAGTAATTACTAAGATGATTAACTGTTTTTGCCTGGAGAGAGGAAGAAAGGTACTCAAGCGTCCAGGACTCTCCTTTATAGGGTTGCTATGAGTCACCTGTGGCTTGACGGCACTTACCAACAATAATATCAACAGAGAGAGAGAGAGAGATCAGCTGGCCCAGTGGACAGAAAGAGATGCTACCAATCCAAAGGTGGGTGACTTTTAATCCACGGCCCTTGGCCCTGTCTTTCGTTGTTTTTGTTCAGACATTCCTTTAGGTAGCATAGCCCTGGTGTACAAGTTGCCGTCCCGTGGTCACGTGTGGTTGCTGTGAGGCTGAACACTGATGTATCAAATGCATTAATGGCTGTTTACCCAATGCAGACAGAGAGTGGGGTGGAGCTCCCCGATTAAAACAAGCTTGGAAGGAGGAGTGGCATCCACTTCCGTAATAGCTTGCCTCCAGAAACCCTATGAACCTGGAGAGAGGAAGAAAAAGCACCCAAGCGGCATGAACTCTCCTTCATAGGGTCGCTATAAGTCGCCTGCAACTCGACGGCACTTAACAACAACTGTTTTTGCATATTTTGCTATCATTTGAAAGATTGACAAATTCATAAACAATGCAGTTACTGAGCAGAGCTTACCTTTCAAGCTCAAGTGCATTGCTCTTTCTACAAGAATATTGACTGCAAAAGTTCCATCCAACTCAGAAGAGTCTTTCTGGGCTGAAATAACTTCAGCCATAGTGCTACTGCAGGGGTTTGGGGACTTTTGGTCATTCCGTTGGGGAGAAGGCTGTATCTCGTCCCTTTTAGGCAGCTCCTCAGCCTCACTGTGGCTGCTGCAGTCCATGGAATCCACCTCACAAGTGAGCTCAGGATGTGGAGAAAGAGAGGAAAGAATCACATGAACTCGCAAGGCAGCTCCTGAGAGGTTGGAAGCATTCCGTCCAAACAGAGGATATACACCTATAAAAAGAAGGAAGAAAATCAGTGTGAGCAAACAGGAACCAAGAGCACTTTTTGTACTGAAGGAAATTGAGAGGGCACATCTGGTCCTTTTTCCTTTCACAGTCCTATAGGTCCCACTACATCAATTTGCAAAACATAATGTAGAAAATACAAGTTTTTACTTCATGCATGGAAGACGTACAATCCATTTAGTGTGATTTACAACCTCTGAAAAACCTACTGGAATGTCAGCTATGAGTCAGCTTCAATTCAACAGATAGGAGACGAATTGGGTTATTTTACTGCCTTTAGGACACTCCAGTGGTACAGTCTGTAGGGAGTTTTTCTGGTAACCCAAAGAGTTGCTCCTTTCTGGTGGCCGGAGTCCACCAGTGACTCCAGGGAAGAAAGATGAGGCAATCTTCTCCTGTGTGATTTTTCAGCTTCAGAAAACCTGATGGAGGGTCAGCTGAGTAAGCTTCAAATCCATTGCTTTAAGTTGAGCTCTTACTACCTTTAAGAAAGGAAACTAGGGATCTCTCTGATTTAAAGACAAAGTCAGGCAGAATTGCTGGGGAATGAATTTGTATGTTTAGAGGTAGCTAGAATTTGATGACTTTTGAGCCCTTTTGCAAGTCTAAGATTTGACTAAATCAGAATAGTCCATCTTCTCTTGTTGTTGTTGTTGTTGTTGTTATGTGCCATCGAGTCGCTTGCGATTCCTAGCAACCCTATGTACAACAGCCCTAAACCCTGCTCTATCCTGTGCCAATCGCATTGCCTCTGACACATCCATCCCGATTACCCCAGTCACTGAAT